ACCTACCGGTTCAACAAACTAGTGGCTATGGGTGTTTTTCTTTGCTCCTGCTTTCGGCACCAGGCCCCGATCCTTAACATCATAGACCACGGCACCAACCTCCAGATCTGCACAGTCTTAAAAACTGCCACGGCTGATCAGGTCTGGTCCGCCTTCACGCGGGCGCGGCCGCGCCCTATGGGAGCACCAGAAATCGCGACGACAGATGGAGGATCCGAGTTCGAGGCCAAAGTGATTCGAGGACTCGAGGAGTTAGGCATATTTCATCACATTTGCGATGCCGAGAGTCCTTGGCAGAACGGGGGGTGCGAGCGCCATGGCGGCCTCGCCAAGAAGGCGCTTCTTAAGGCCATGTCTTGCGTTTCCCTCAGGGATCGAGAGGAGCTTGAGGATCTGTTGGCGCAAGTCATCGCCGCTAAGAATCGTTATTCTCACCGAGGCGGCTATTTCCCCTACTTGCTGGTTTTCGGAGAGAGCCCGAGACTTCCTCACAGTTTGCTGCCCGATGACGCCGTCGATGACGTGGGAGTTTTTGACTTCGCCCAAGGCACCCAGGACGCGGACGGACTTGCCGCCGCCTTTGCTCGCAAACATCGCTTCCGGGAGGAGGCCAGGAAGGCCGCGATGGCTCTGGACGTTCGGGATCGCCTCAAGGAGGCCAGCAAGGCTCGCCACCACTCGGATCAGAAGTTTGTTCCAGGAACCTGGGTTTACGTCTGGCGTCGTCCGACCAGTCAGACCAGGTCCTCTCGATCCCGTTGGACAGGCCCTGGAGCTGTAGCTTATCAACAGAACACCACCGCGTGGGTGGCCATGCGCACTAGGCTTTTGAATCGCAGTGTCGAGCGAATCCGTCCAGCCTCTCGCGACGAGGCCATGGGGGCTGAACTGGTGGACATGAATCGCATGAAGTCCCTAAGAGAGGAGCTGCTTGATCCCGGGGGCCGCATGGGAGCCATTGACGTCGAGGCCGAAGGGCCCCCCCGTCCGGAAGCAGGGGATCAAAGCACTGATCCGACGCCCGTCCAGCATCGCAGAGTACCCGAGGGATCTCCTCAGCCGTCTGTCGTTGTTTCTCCCCCAGTTGAGACGGGCGAGGCGCTTCGTGAGTCCATCGAGGAGCCCACTCAAGAGCCAGCGCCTCCGATTCAGGAAGAGGCGTCAACGCTTCCCCCCTCCGCTTCCCCGGATCACTACACATCCGCCCCTCTCTCTCTCTCTCTCTCTCTCTCTCTCTCTCTCTCTCCTATCTCCTCTGACAACTCAGGCGATGCCGCGGAAGCGCCCGCAGCACGAGTATCGAGCGAGCCCAGAGCTCGAGCAGCTTCCCAGGCCCCAGGGGAGAGCTCGGCTCGACACGCGCAGCGGCCTCGCCTCACCCCGAGCGAAGAGAGGGGCTCAGGACCAGGAGGGGTGTGGCGGGCGATCGCTGAGATCGAAGGCCGCAGTTTGCCCGACGATGTCCCCATGCGCACCCGTCGCCAAAGAGAAGCAGCTTGGGAAACCGTGTCAGGTGCCGACACTCCAGGGGACCGATCCAGACCCCGTGACCAAGGAGATCCGAACCTGGTCGTCCGAGAAGATGAGATCTTGGAGGACTCCAGCGACCCTCAGGACGAGATCCTGTGGGAAGAGCTCTGCTCCTGGTTCCTCCTCGACCCCACCTTCTGGACTTCCTCGTTTGCGGAGATCTCCGGAGAAGGACCTCCAGCGCGTCGAGGCGCGGAGGAATCTCCCAAGAATGTTTCCCCGGCCGAGCGCCGTCTCTTCGATTTTTTCGACCCTGAAGAATGGGCCGCGACCATGAAATCAGGGGCGGTCCGGGTTGTTCCAGTTCTCGAGGCTCAGGTGATTAGACGCAAGTGTCCCGACAGAATTTGGGGTTCCAGGATGGTCCGTAGGTTTAAACCCCAGGAGGGTCTTGGGGCCGCCCCCGAGGCCAAGTCGAGGCGGCGCGTCCAGGAACGCCACGATCCGGACGGGGGAGAATTATTAGTTTACGCTCGCAGGCCGAGAGCCTGATGCTGACGCTTCAGGCGATTTCTTGTCTAGGGTGGACCCTGGAGGTGGCGGACGCGAAGACTGCGCCCTGCCAGTCGAACCGTTTGTCTCGCCCTGCCGGCGCGATCTTTTGCGAGCCATGCTAAGGTTTGCACCTCGCTCCAGGAGAGCTCATCGAGCTCGTGGCTCCGGTGCACGGGCTGAACAATGCACCGTTGTTATGGCACAGGACACTCACAGAGCATCTTTCATCGATCGGGTTCGAGGAATCCCTCCTGGAGCCGTGTTTGTGGGTTCGACGAGGCTCCATGGAGCTCTCCGCGGGATCGTTCTTATAGAAGCTGACGACTTGATTATTGCAACACACCCCAGGCCCCAAGTGCGCCCAGAGGCCCCAGCCCACAACGCCCCAAGCGCGCCCACACAGTGCCCAGCGCGCTGCCCACTGAGGCCCCCCGACGCAGCCCACAAATGCCCAAGCCCCCGCTGCGAGCGTGCC